AAAGATTGCAATTGACGACCTAAGAATTAGGCAGATGCATAGGTATGCTTGAAACTGGGTCAACACAACGTCACGTTGCAAACGTCTTTGGTGTTGGCCAAAGTGTGATTAGCGGGGCATGGAATCGATACCAGACGTTTGGATCAGTGACATATGCCGGTGGTCAACAGATACACCACACAGGGGAAAGACAGGCTGCTTCTCATTGCAGCAAGATGTCATCACTTCGTTACTGCCACCACACACAGAAATGACCTGCGGAACGCCAGTGGCCTTAACATTTCTATTTAGAGAGTGCGTAATCGTCTCTGTGAGTCTGGTCTCCGGTACTGAAGGCCAAGCATTCGCATCCCACTGACCCGACATCACAGGCAGGCACGTTTGGATTGGGCTTTTTAAAAGATCACGTCAATTGGACAGACCAGACCTGGGCTCCGGCACTTTTCATTGATGACTCGAGATACTGCCTAGACTTCACAGATCGTCGTTCCCGAGGATGTCAGGATTCCAACGTAGCCGTACATAGCCGCTATGGGGGGGGGGGGGGGGGGGGGCTCAAGCATGATTTGGATTTGCGACCAGTAGATCTGGAAGAACCGATCTCCATGTCCTACCCCCGGGCACGATGTCAGGTGTGCGCTACAAGGATGACAGTCTGGGTGTGTACGCGAGACTGTATGCAATCGGACCTGGCATGGAGTGGCCAGATCGTCACCAGACCTCAACCCAATCAAGCACATGTGGAACGAGCTGCAGATCACCCTCTCACGACGCCCTTTCCTTTCGGCAACTCTACATGAACTCGGCAATGATCATACTGAAGAGTGGAACAATCTTCCCACGGCAACAATCCAGACACATAGAGGCAGCATGAGACGAAGGTGCCAGGCTCTGATCGCATCACGTGGATCACATGCGCTATACTCAAAATTGGGTTTTTCTTACAATTAATTTGTTTTCGTGTTTTTTTTGGCGTTTCAAAGATTAACATGGGATAATCAAAATGACATTTAAGGGCTCCAAGGCTGATTCTGTCAAAATCATCTTTCTATCTTTCGTTATATGGGCTAAACATTTGAACGGAAAATACTTTACATAGCCCCTGGGAGGTTTTGCCATACAATCTCGGCCATCTATTAGACATTCCGGAATGTTCTTTTGTTCAGTTTTCAAATTTTCAATCGAGAATTTGGTCAAAATATTTTTCAAAGCGTTCTCTGGAATGGTAGTCGCCAGTTTGAAACTCGCGCCGTAAAGCTCGAAAAAGCTGCTTTCTGATTGGCTAATGTCGACTTTTTGTGTGTCATTTCATTGGTCGGTCAAAGTTCACGAAAGGTCGTTCTGGCGTAACCTGATATGGGGGTGTACTCAGATCTTCGTTAAGCGGTAGCGAGAACTAAGATCTGATTATAATGAAATTAACTATTTCCAAGTAAGTATTCGTAAAATATAAATATTTAAACTATCTAAAGTAGACAAAATATTTATGGACAACAACTTCTTTATTTTACTGTGACAGTGACAGTATAGATCCATACCGAAACGTCGCTATTACAGTTTACTAAAGAAGTTGTTATCCATTAACCTTTTGTCTACTTTGTCACAGGTCAGCTTGTAAGAAATGCCGATCAAACAGCTTAAACTATCTGTCAAAATTAAATATAGGGGATCGTGTTCAGCACAGGCAACACACACACACACACACACACACACACACACACCAGATATATTATTTATAATCATGAGGGAAACGAATTATTATACGGACGCTTCCTCGAACATATGTTCTCGAGAATATTGACATACGCGACATCAAGTGTCTTTGAATGAATACTCTTATATCTTGAACATTTAGACAGGGGGCGTCTCCTTGGCACAAACAACGTGGTTACAGGTAATACAACATGGGCATGAGATGGTTACACTATGTGACCTGCATGCATGTCACATGCCCCCCTTTCACTACGACCACGAATATCCCGAATCACCCCGAATCGGAAACTTTCGAAATTCGTGATGATTCGACCAATAATGCAAACTTTCGTGGCTAATCGGGTTGAAAAATATGAAGAATGCTAGGAATGGGTTAAGAAACATGTACGAATTACAAGATTCATGTACGGATCATGCACGAATTGTAAGAATCACCTACGACTAAGTTACGAATATGCCGATGTTGTTCTTACTATATTCTTGCATGATTCGTCATTGACTCGGGACATTCGTGGCTGTTTCCGGATGTTTTCGGGTTGGGGACAAGAAATTTTGGGAGCCACGAATCGCTAAGAATAGCCAAGAAGCTGTTACGGAACATAACAATTAATTACGAATGGATTACGATACAGCCACGAAATTGCAATTCGGGGACCCTTTCGCCGATTTGACGAACTCCCGCGAACTGTACGAATGTTTGGGAATCAAATAAGATTCATTTAAGAACTTCAAGAAATGATTGAGATTTATCTACGAACATGAAACATTTCCTATTCGGTGTTACTCGGTATTCGTGGTCGTAGTGAAATGGGGGCATAGTGTACCCCCTTGAGAAAAACCTTCGAGCTGCAAGGATTATCTGTCTCCAGTGAATTAACTTTGTGGGTTTCTGGGCCTTGGCGAGGGGCTTTCAACATTAATTCAAGAGGGACAGATAACCGGTAACAATATCCTAGAAAGCTTACAATTATTGAATAGTACTTCTGCTTTCAATGACTGTCTTTTACGTGAACTATCAATAAAGAAAAATGTTGTTGTCGGTGATTCCGTAATTCAGATAGACAACCCACTTAAATCATTGAAATCAACTCTGCCGCTTTTTGCAATATATTTGCCAACGCCAAATTCGGTTCGGTTTACCGCCCGGAGAGCGGAAGGTCCCGGGTCCGATCCCCGGCCGCGTCATATACCAAAAGACGTTAAAAGATGGTACTTGTTGTTACTTTGTCTGGCGCTCGGCATTAAGGGGCTAAAACAAGGACTGGTCGGCTCGGAGTCAGTATACTGTGTCTGAGTGGGGTATTCATGTTAAACTGCGGTATGGTATCTCAGTGTGCTAGCACTACAAAACGGCATCAGTCCGGACTAGTACAAGCAGCCACACAAACACATACATGTACATGCACATCGCTATATAAGTGCAATAATCTTGGACGCGACGTTAAACCCAATTTCACCTCACCTCACCGGTTAGGTTTCAAATTCAATTTAGCGCGTTTAAAACTACAAGTATCCTAGCTCAACATTGAAACCATAGTATTTTCTCTTCTATGAGGTGGGCAATACTGAAACTATTTTCACCTAACATTATACAAGTAACATGCCACAGTGGTGGAGCTGTGTTCTTACTGACCCTGGCGTCATGCAACGTTTAACGTTCCCTCACACACGGGGTACAAGAATTCCGCCCGTCTATCCATCTGACCCAACAGTTTGGAATAGACTCGTAACTAGCGATACTGTGCATTCTCAGTAGTATGAGATCAAATCTAGATGTATGGACTCAGGTTCGATCAAAGAACTCTATTCAAGAATGCATAGTTAATGTTCACATCAAATTCAAAGATGATACATAAATCTTTTCAGAGAGAAATAACGTGCTGACGATTTTTTGTGTGGGCATTCATCAAATGAAATAAGGTGCTATTTATGAAATAAGAGAGTTAGGTGTTTATAGCGGATTAAGTAGATCAACAGTGGAATCTGTATCTCAACCGTGTTAACGATAGAAACGCGTGCAGGGGTAGTTATTTTTCAAATAGCTTCTCTATTGTATATTTGTGTTTCTCTATAATTATATTGTGCCTAAATACTGTAAACTATATGGATTAAACCTAGGCGACACCGTTCAGTAATCTTTAGGTGTACGGGTCCGTCGACCACGGCAAAAAAGAAAATACATCCCTGTTTCTACATATCAAAATAAGAAAAAGTTTTATTTCAACCCCTCCGCTGCTGGGGGTGACAAGAAGAATCTTAAAATAGGTTGAGGGTTGTAAAGCGAATTCGATCGACCCTAAACAACATTCTGAAAATAATCTGCAAGCCTAAGATGCGTTTCTTTCTTCTATCGTGTATTAAACTTATCACATCTATAAGGCATGCACATTATAGGTTTTTCGTTTTATTAGTGGTTGATAACTTAGACGCATTTCACTAATAGCGTTAATGAATTAAACCTTCCGTGTAATCGTAACAACTACACGCGCTTGGTTGGGGATTCAATTGAAATCTGCTCACTGACACGGTAATCACACTGGTTTCAAATTGCGTAAAGACTGATTGAAATCTATTAAAAGATAATGGAATTGTTCTCTTTTACAGAGTGCAACGCATTCAGAAACAAATCTATATATTTTGATTGTTGAGGCTGACTGTGGGTTGCTGCGGGTGCTCCCGAAAAGGAAGGACTCGTTCATGCATATCTTATAGTAGTAGGGTTTTATGTGAATAGGTATAAACAGTCTATAAATGATTTGATTTAAATATGCTATAAAAATGAATATTAATAACATAGTAAATATAACAATGCGGTCATAAAGATCAAAATACTAAAGAAACAGTGTGATATTTTTACAAGCCCGGTCAGGTGGGTGAGGACCCAATGAATGGTCACCTGTTTGAAATTGTGAAATAAAAACATACCCATTCACATCCTAATTAGATCTTTATCGCCCATAAAAAGAAATCAATATATGTACACACTTGAATTGTAATAACATAGATTACAGATATTGTATGCTTTGATGCGGGAACACCTCGCTGAAACCCAACTTCGGAAAATGTCAGGATGGACTCGGGCTGTAGCCATTTCTACTTATCTACATTACTGACCTTGATCACGTAATACCAAATACTACTTCCGGTGTAAACTGAATTGACCGAAGAATATACGGAAACTGAAACATGATATTTGATAGCGCATCTGCTATTACACGCCGAAACATTTATCCCACACAGCTCCTCGCACGCGGCACTGAAACAGTCACTAGCCATTGGACCGTGAAAACCCGTGACCTCATTAGCATACTGACGAAAACATCATGGCCGATTGAGGCGGCGAAAGGCAGTCCGTCTGGAGTATTATTCCTGGTTTTAATGAAATAGTGGCCGGTTTTAGTCCCTCTGACAACTCAAAATGGTTTTCGAATCTCTTGTTGTGGAACTTATTAACAAGTTCGTTGGAGATTATGTGGAGAATTTGGATGCATCGCAACTCAAGTTGGGCATTTGGGGCGGTAAGTTTTCTACTTTTACGGTGTAAGCGTTTAGGCCTACCGATCATGCCGATGTCTTATGACTTTGCGCGTGATATCGAATCAGTCTGAGCTCAAGTGGAATTTGCGTGGGCTGACGACCCCGTACGACTATATTTGACACATATGGACATATTTATATTTTTAGAGCGGGCGTCGCCGTCGATAATGCACAACTGTTAACTGTAGAAATGCACGCACTATGAGCCGGCTTCTCTCACGTGTGCGCGCTTGAATGACAGTACTTTCTTCGCATAAGATCACTTCCTGGAATTAAAAGAATACGCCAAGTTGCTCATATATCTGACACCAGCAGCTAATTCTGGCAACACATGGATCACCGCCGTAATCACGTGCCCATGTTATGTGTGCGTTAATATTTGGTGATGCAAATGAATATATACATTTCATTGTGAGGGACAGCTTTGTTCTGAAGCTGCATCCGTTGCAGATCGATATGGCAGTATCGGTCACGTGACACCGAATGTGTCTATTTATATGGAAATTTGAAGTGGTTGTGACGACTGTGGTCTTGTGTTTACTGCGCTATTTGCGCTTTTTATGCATATCACATTTGCCAGTTCATTGAATGACTACAACATATAGACTGCTGTGACTGTAGCTCTTTAAATCCTTTGTAATTCCAGCCCAGGCGAGAGGCTCTTAGAGATGTCATTTTGGCCTTGGGTATAAGTATGACTAATATTAGAATAATAAGTATACAAAAGTAAGGATGCAATTCAACTCATGTTTAGGTTTAAACCTCAATGGGTCCTTAGTAAATGTATAGATCCTTGTGTAATGAGTTTTTGAGCATCTAAGAAGTACTTCTCATTACGTGACTAATAACAATCCCAATTCACTAAAATTTAGTCTTACCTTTGAAAACATTTGTTTCTTGAAACAAATATATCATCAACTGACCATGTCTTTTTAATTTTATAGCGATTATGCCTTGCCAAGCAAGATGAATTGATCAGGCACCATCTTGTTATCATGGTTATGATCACATGATTTACAAACATCAGCTGATGCATAATCGGTGCATACGATTGTTCTTATGCAAAATTGTCATCAGATCAAATTTTATTAAAATGTGCATTAGGGAAAAAGTGAGTTTTGAGGTGTGAATATCCTCATGTAGCTTAATTTGCCACATAACTTCTGTCTATCTCTCTTCCTCCTCCTCCTGTGGTCCTGTGGATCAACTGTGTCACATGTGGTGCTGTGGATCAACTGTGTCACATGTGGTGCTGTGGATCAACTGTGTCACACATCATTGCACATGGTTCTGTGGATCAACTTTTTCACATGTGGTGCTGTGGATCAACTGTGTCACACTTGGTTCTGTGGATCAACTGTGTCACACATGGTTCTGTGGATCAACTGTGTCACACATGGTTCTGTTGATCAACTGTGTTACATGTGGTGCTGTGGATCAACTGTGTCACACATGGTGCTGTGGATCAACTGTCACACATGGTTCTGTGGATCAACTGTGTTACATGTGGTGCTGTGGATCAACTGTGTCACACATAGTTCCGTAGATCAACTGTGTCACACATGGTTCTGTGGATCAACTGTGTCACACATGGTTCTGTGGATCAACTGTGTTACATGTGGTGCTGTGGATCAGCTGTGTCGCATGTGGTGCATAGTAGCACTAGCTTGTCTGCAGGAGCAGTCTTCACAGTGCTACATGTGTCACCTGTGTGATGATTTGCCGCCCAGTTATGGCTGAATGGTTGATGAAGCTGGTTCCTATGTGTGTGGAAGGCAGGGATGGCTTGCTGAGTGCAGCAGCTGTTGAATCATTTCCTCCCACCCCCCCTGCGGCTGACTCAGCAGACATGTGACATTGTTGTGAGCAGCACAGACAGATGGTTGTAGGTTGTGTAGCATTGCCATTGTCATGTGCTGCACTTCAAGCCATGCATGACCACTGGACAATGAAACAACTCGCACATACATTTTCCTTGTCAGGACAGATCAATTTCTTTCAATGCATTTTTTATCAAATATGTCTTTGATTGGAAAATTTCATTTCAAACACATCAAAATATCAGACTTAAAATATTTGAAAAACAATGAATTACTTGGAGTTATTCAAACACCTGCTGTAGATAACGTCTCCGAAGAGATGGTATTGGCGTTTCGATGAACATTAAAATGGCTGGGAACTTTGTTTTGTGCAATTCTTGTTTGCAGCACACCCACTGCGCATAGAAGTTGATTTCCATCTTGCCATGGCATTGCTAATGCATATTTACAGTTTAACAAAGCTGTTCTTATGAGCACCTGGTAGTTAAACAATTATTGTGTGCTGTTCACATTAAAAAATGTGCATGAGTATCATGTTCCAAACAAGCTCGGAAACATCCAGATTGTGCACCGTGTATGAACTTGCACGTGCAAGTTGTAGATCACCACCTTAAAGTCGAGGAGAGGGAAGGAGAGAAAATTTGTAAGTTTTAATATCCGAGTTGTCTCATTCTTATTTTCGTTAACATTGGTGTCATTAGACAAACTGACCCTGGCTAGCTGGTTAGTGTCACATTCTATCCCTCAAACATGCTATGTCATGCATAAGTCTGAGCTGTCAACTACTGACAGGCACAGTGTCTAGTGATATCACAGCAGGTCATCATGGTCATAATGATATGTCCATGTCGCAGATTGTGTAATCACATCTGTGAGATGGTGGTTCAAGGTTACAAGTCCATCCATCCTGCTGGTCTGTGCATGTGAGGGGGGTGTGACGGTTATCAACATGATAACGTCACTTGCAATATTTTAAACCGGACATTTGAGATTCCCAATCGGACATGTCCGGCGCATATGACGGTTTCCGGACCCCTGCTTGTAACACCAAAAGCCTTGCCACTGAGGGATTACAACACTGATATTAGTGATAGTAAGAACTGTGTCACCTATGTCAACTGTGGACATGGTGTTTTCTGAATGAAATTGTTTCGGGTTGGGGTTTCTTTGAACAGACAAATGGCACAGTTTCAGCACCGGTTGATTCCATGTTTTTATATTGCCTCTATGTACATGATGTATGTTAAGCAAGATAAAGCTGTTTTGTCTACTTACATTTAGAAGGATGCCCTCATTTTGTACATGTTGTAGTTCATAGTAGTTTACATCATGAACAACATCGTTGTTACACTTTTCAAGGGAGTAGGTGGCCAGAGTCAAGACTTCTGGGATGTGGACAATGGTGGACTTGGAAATGACTTGTTTACTTTTAACATGCCCCCAAAGACATGCCAAAGTCTTGCCTGGTAGATTATGTATATGTCTGGCCTGGAGGACACAAGGTGCAGTTTATCTACATAATCTGCTACAGTTGATACATCTTGGACACAGCACTGGAGTTTCCAAAACATCAGCAGCCATCATGAAAACTGAGTTTAAAATAATAGGTTTTGGAGGGTAACAATATGTTACTTGGGTCATTGTGTGTCATCAGACCTTGACAAGCCTTGAATTTGTACAAAATGACATATACTTGTAAGTCAAAGTATTAAAACACACACAAATATTTAGCGAAGATGTTTGACATGTATAATTTAGATTTATGATGGTGATAGATTTGTGTGCTAAAGACCCTGAAAATTTTTATGACAGACTTAATATACTTTTGTTGTTAGTGAAATAAAAATCTTGTTGGAAAATTTATGATAATCATACTGCTTTTAAGGTCTTATTATTCATATATAGTATGCTGATTTAATAAAATATTGACAGACTAAGGCTAATAACCCAACAAAAAAGCCTTGAAAATGACAGCAAGCAACCTTGAAAAGCCTTGAATAGGCCTTGAATTTTAGGGTTCCATATCTGCATGCATTTGGAGAGTCTCAATAAAACAATCGAGGATTATTTCTAATATATTGCGTGAAAAGTGAATTCTGTGTTTCACAGTGTTTTTCTCGTGAACACACTATCTGTGCTGTGAGGTTTCCCCCACTTCACATCTTCTTACAGTACTGTACGTTGCATTCTATGAATAGCAGCAAATCTCAATGTGAGCATGGTAAGGAAACATCATTCACAGGGTGCAGCCAGGGCTGGATGCAGGCAGTAGTGACCCTGACAGTTGGTCCCTAGCAGCCTCATGCTGGTCGTCAGAGGTGACTTAATGTCAGTCATAATATCAGTCACTAGGTTGTCTAGTCAAAATTTGATTATTTACAGGCCACTTTCATACAGATGGTATATTGCTGATTCGTCATTAAACAATAAACACGCACATAGTCAACAAAGTGGTAGTGGTCATGTGAACTAGGTGGTAGTGGTCAGTGTGTCAGTTTGTCTGATCCACCCTCTATTGTTTCCTGCCATCCCTTGTGTGAGGCTGGCCATTGATAATGTTCTTGCAACTACAGTATGGCTAAGAAGGTGCTGACACCCTGTCCAATCCCTCACTGGGTCACGGCTTGAGTGATCAGCATTCAGTTTTCCTTTTCCTTTTCATATTCATATTATATAGTCACATAGGAATTCTGTTCAAAGACTTTCTTATCTTCAGATTTATTAAAACAATAGTTTGTTCGTGTTTTTGAATGAATGCACCATTGATGAGCATGTAATCACATTGAATCCTAGTATAGGGAGGACTATACTCTGCTGGAGTGTTGTCCTTTGTACCAGGTCCCCCCCCCCCCAGTCACCTGTTTGTAACCTTACAAGTTTCGTGATGGAATAGTACATGGCTATACAGTTATTTAGTAAGACCATCTGCATATCCCACATTTCAGATATAGTTTTCCTCCTCAGTGTTACCAATACTTTGAAAATGTTGATGATTCGACTCCTTCATGTCCATGGCCTTGTTGACAGGAAAGTATCAAGTTTGTATGTGGTCTGACAAAAGGTGTGAAAACAATTCATGTTTGGAATGTCATATTAACTGTCTACAGTGTAGAATGGCATGTGTGTGATGGTCATTCTCAGCAGATAGGTGTGATGCCCAG